ATTGGATGAAATATGTAATTATAAGTGATTTAAGTGACAAATAAACATGTTTCCATATTTAAGTGTGAAAAGATGTTAGTGAAATTCCATATCATTTAAGTAGTATTAGCTACATAAAAAAAATTAATTTGAATTATAGATTTGGACAAGCTTAATTTAAACAGTTTGTTTTACCAAAATTTGAACAGTTTCAAAAAAACATTAAAATCAAACTAAATGAAAGAGTTGCCAAAGTGATTCGAACACTTGACAACTTGGAAGGAATGTACAAATCCAACAGCTCGGCTGCTGCGCTAGCTAGTTTGGTCTAGAAATGTTTTAAAAGATACTTATACTATATATAATACAATGATATACGCATACAAATAAAATTTTAAATATATATATAATGGGGTTGGGTGAGGGTTGAGTGGGGGCAGCTGCCCCCCTGCCCCCATAGTAGATACGTCCCTGCCTACAAAGACCTAAAAGAAACGTCAATCTCCAAAAAAGCATACAGATCAAGGGTGGACACCTTTTCTTTGGCCAAACAGCATGTGACAGATTTACACTGTTATAGACAACCTCGCCTCGACTGCAACATTGAGTGTCAAACCTACACATCATCTAGAACTTAACAAGTTCATAAACAGAATGCCAAATCTAGAACTTTTTCAAAAAGTTCTAGATTAATTTGAAGTAGATGATGTGTCAAACCGACAATAGATTCACCATAACACCACTAATTATTCGGAAATGACTTGTTGAATTCAACATCAAGCTATGATGGGAACACATGAGGTAGAAGCATACCGTCACTGTTTCTACAGAGTAGTATCCGCGGTCTACATAATCTCCCATGAATAAATAGTTTGTGTCAGGGCACTGTGAATAGTATGAAAGAATTAAGTACAAATATGCCAAAATCAGATGACATACGGTGACCGGTTATTTTGTTTTGACTTAAAAGGAATACAATACAATTACAGATGTCACTGTTTTATTGAGCATTCTTTTGGAGTTTTACTATTTCCCAAAGCTGCAATATGAGAAGTTTTCTTTAAAGTTATAAAGTACAAATTTTATTGTCCAAGGGAATTGCCATAGTCAAAATTAGTTGCTTTAGAACAGAGCTAATAAATAAGGTAGGTAAAACCTGTTGTGAGACGCTTCTTTTGCCCCCCTGAGATCCCTTTGAGCATTTCATCACCCACCAATGTATTAGCACAAGCATCCAATCCTAAAATCTTTGTAGAAATAGATGGAAAAAAATGAAACCTCTTTGCGAACAAACAAAAGTGACGAACAAAAGAAACAGTTAATTTTCTTACCTTTAAAATGTAATCCACAACTGTGCTTGTCTGCTCTCCAAGTGCTACTACCTAGGATGAAACAATTCCTTTAAATTTGAGACATGAGACATGCATTAACCTAAACAACAATTGTTTTAAGAGGTGATAACAGGGGGGCGAGTTAGGTAAGGAGGATTAATGGTGGAGCCAAAAGACTTGCGCCAACCCCTCCCTCCATGCCTCAGTGGGACCGAAATGAGAAGAAGACGCGGTACAGGGAGATGTACCTTAATAAACATATCAATATCAGGATCAGGGGTTATTCTGGCAACTTTCTCCCTTCTCAACAGTTCCATAAGCAAATCTGGAACGAAATCTCAGCTGCTCCGCATGAAATTGAAAAGCAATTAAGGAATAGACAAAAGGATATGATGCAACAGTGGTTTTACCATGCTTAAAGCCATTGCCCTGACATTGCCCAGAGAACTCTTAGTCAAAATTAGTTGCGTTAAATGTCAGGGAATTGCCATAATCCCTGAATAATAGCAACCCTCTTGATCTCAATGCATAAAAACATTCACGGAATACTATTCACAGAACCATCAAATAAACAACCCAATATTTCTGATTTCATATAGTAACTATCTTGCTTATTAACTTAGCCTAAGATAAACCATAATAATGGTTCTCATTTACATAATACGTGTTTCACACAGACATACAATGATGGAACTAAAAAATGCAAAAGTAACTACTACTCTCTATATCCCAGAAAAGATTCCTATATTTAAAGCTTGTTGCATGAACAAAAGAGCCATGAGCGATGTGTTAACATTTTTTACAAAAAAAAAACACATATCAGGAGGTGTAGTTATGTTTTTTTGTGGAGACCTCAACAAACTTTGCCATGGGACAAGAAAGAAAGACCAAGAAAATGACAAAGAATGATACAGAAATGATAAAACCGTTCCTGAATTATTTACATGTACCCAAAATCATATACTCCATAATTAAAGTTACATGGCATATAAAGCCTCACAAACCCACAAAAAACATAGTCAAAGAACAATCAGAAGTAAGAATGATTATGAAAATTAATCTTATATAGAAACAAATGTGTTTCGTATCACATATTAAATCCAAATAAAATCCAAAAGAAGCTCTTTTTAGGCTTACCTCGTAAAAAAATCAGAAATCCATGTAGCCTGAAGTCCAGGGACATATTTCCTTCCCCCAAACTTCAAAAACTTTTCTTTATATAGAATAATTGAAGAATTCTAACTAAGAATTGGAAATCCCCCTAATTAACTAAGAGACGAAAATCATTAACAATTAATTCCAGAATATGTCAAAAGTAAAACAACATTCTATAAAAAATGAAACAAGAATAGTTTGTATTGAAGAAGATGTACAGTACTTCTTCAAGTTGAATAAATAGAAGTCCAAGCCAACAGTATGCAAAATAGGAGAAATCGTACCTAAAGTATCATATGAGAGGGCAAAACAGACGACTTGGTTGTTGTACCTTTGGAGATTCAACCGGGTTGGGACTTCCCACAGACCAGAGGACCGCAACTCACAGACCTAAACTTCATACCATTGTCATCGTTCTGTGATCACGAATTAGAAAGGGACCTGCCACAAGTTAGATGGACCTCGCATTGTCGTTGTCATCAAGCTTGGGAATCGGGTCCGTCAAATTCTGGTCAGCGTCGATTAAGGAACATATCAAGACGACGCCTCGAAGGCCAATAGAACGAAGCTTCCTATTGTGCACTGGGCGGATGGATGGATGTGCGAAGTAAGATGTGATCATCTTACAAGGTCGACACCGGGCGGCTCCTTCAGCGGAAGATTTCTGCAAATAGACATTGGGGGAGGCCGAAACCTAGGTATGAAGAGGAGATAGTTGATGTATTCTGAGAGAGAAATAATGAGAGGGGGGCAGCACACCACGTTAGCAAACGGAAGGTAACAGATAATCGGCACTGCACACACGGTAAAAGGGCCAGGCTAACCATCACTCGCACTTATCATTTTTAGTAGATAGCGTTGACCAGATTAACTGGTCTTGACCGGATTGACCCTTGACCCGACAACTTATCCGGGTCGCCTCCCGGTTCTTTGAACACAGATCTAAACTAAGGGAAATTTACTACTCCCTCCGTCCCTGAAAATTGTTCCTTGTTTCCTTTTTGGGCCGTCCCAAAAAACTGTCCCCCTTTCCCCTTTTGGAAAGTTTTTTGTGGCTACAATTCATTTACTTTTTTCTTACTCAACCACAACCATACATTTTCACTTTATTCCCACTTTCTTAAACTCCGTTCCAAGTCAATGCGGGAACAATTTTCCGGGACAGAGGGAGTATTAACTCCCTGAGATTATGCCATAATTATTAATGCAATCTTGCATTTTCAAAAATCAATTAGTTACTCCTTGAGTTTGGATCATTCCCATTCTTTGCCCCCTCACGTTAATATTTGTTAAATTTAAATTTAATATAATTCTTAAATTCAATGAAAAATGTCTATAAAATTAATTCTTAATTTAAAACCCAAATTATTATCATTATTATTAGTCATTGTTGTTGATCATTATTTTTCTACTTAGCTACTCCATCGTGGAATAAATATTATTGAGAGTAATTAAGAGAAAATACTCATGAGTAAGATATAAAATATCATGAATTTTTAATATATTTATTATAAAAAATTAATTATCATTTAATCTTATAAAACCAATAAACTTTTTACAGTAAAATAAACTCAGTGAAGATAAAATCATCACAAATTAGTAACATAGTTAATAAAAATTTTAAATAAATTAAAATGTATGATATTTTCCGTCTTAGATTAATAGTTTTCAATTATTCAGATCATGGAATAATTGGAATTATCAAATTCATCACACATTTTGTCTTTTAGATCCCTTATTGATACTAAACCTATCTTTTAGGTCATGGAATGATAAAAAAATATTGGTATTCTTCTTCGCTACACATGAAAGGGATGTCATTGCGATTAATTCAACCGAATGAATTTCAAACAAGACTTTTATATTCATAATGAAGAACTGCCTCACTTTAAAAAACGAAGAAGTACCTAGAATTTTGATATCACATTTTATAAACAATTCTTTTTATGTATGTCATGAATATTACTTGTGAGTCTTCCCCTTAACTACTCTCATTAATAGTTACTCCACGATCGAGTAGGTAAGCAGAAAAACAAACGATCAACAACAATGACTTATAATTATGATAAAAAAATTGTATTATATTTTAAAAATTAATTTTATAGACATTTTTTTATTGAATTTAAAATGCATATTACATTTAATTTAATAAATATTAACGTGAAGGGGTATACAGTGAGAATGGTCAAAAGACCCAAAACTTAGGGGTAACTAATTGGTTTTTAAAAATGCAAGATTGCAATCATAATAATTTTCTCCTAAACTAGGGGGTGTTTGGATCTGATTCTCAAAACTGATTCAGCTCCTTCAGAGAGCAGAAGCAGAAGCTGGAGTGTTAGAGTGAAATTCCAGAAGCACTTCTGGAGCTCTAATTTACTCTCAGAATCAGTTTTTTTAGAAGCTGAGAGGTACCAACTTCTGAAAACTGATTCTGATTCTGTTTATGCTTTTAAAAAAGAAGAAGTAGAATCAATTCCAAACGCCCCTAATCTACTCCAGTGTATTATCGGATGAAATGAATTGCAGAAGTGTAGCTCAGAAAGGACTGAGGCGGTGAGAGGGACGGGAGTATGTTGAAAGGGCGGTTGCCTCCCTCTCTGCCTATGATTCCTCCATGCCCCTTCTCAAACATCCCTTTCGCCTTTCTTCATCGCAAGAAACAAAGCGGAAGTAGTAATAATTATAAACAAACAAACTGCTGTTATCACAGAGTATAGTATATATCGTTAAGAACTTTGAAGAGGCTGTGATGATATAGTTTTCTGTTTTTCCATTTCTTTCTGGGCTACTAATATTGAGGCATTTGGAGGACCCGATCCGTATCTTGGCGGGGCAACCCGGGAATGGCCCCGGATGTTGCAGCCATGGCGGTGTCAGCTTCCAATTTCCTCTGGAAAAACAGATCTGAGCCTCTAAGGACTATTCTTAAAATTCCATCCCATAAAAAGTTTTTTCTTCTTGCATATATGATTTATTATGTTCATATTTTATTTCGTCCTTAATAAACAGATCTGCGTATTATCCCATCTAGTTCCTGTCGGAAATGTATGAGTATGGAGTACTTTTTTTTCAATTCAGGCTAACACGTTTTACGGTTTAAGGGATGATTCTGAATATATTACAGTACTAATTTTGATGAAAATTTCTACTTTTCTACCATTATTGATGTCAAGCTACTACTGCTGTTGGCCAAACAAGACTTATACCAGAAGGGCTACTTTGCCCTTAGCTGCCAACATGCCATGAAATGAGAAATAGGGCCTGCATGGAGATTGATGTTTTCATTTTTTTTCCTGTTAGAACATGTATGCCATGAGACAAGGGTACCAATTTCATGTATTCATCCTTTGATTGGTGTAATGAGGCTGTACCTAAACTCATAGAGAGGTAAATGTGTTTCGAAGGGCTGTTGCTCGCTCTCTATGGTGTTCTTTTAGCTAATGATTCCCCTCCCCCCATTAACTGTGATCAGTGAGAATCTCAACCACCCTCAAGGACTGTGATATAGGAAATTATATGCTTGGATGGGATGTGAAAGACGAGTGGATAGTCTAATTAGAGTAGGGCTCGAGTCCAAATGTGGATTTCTTTTAACCATATTTTAACCAGTCCAATACTGTTAAAGGGGATTGTTGGTTATTCTTTTGGAATATGGATGAATCAATGACTAGCAGAGGGTGGCAACTATCCAGGGAGAAGCCCGCTCTCATATTTTCTCATGAGCTCTCTGTGTTCTAAAACCATTTAGATATCCCGTACAAAAAATATATTTGGGTGGGGGAGCGAGTTTGGACTAAGTAGCTTAACAAATGGGCCCCTGTTTAGAATATCTCATATTTCGCTGGAGTTCTTTACCAACTTGTCTAGTAGACTCTAATTTTTTTTACAGATGTCGTAATTTAGCCTATAGTTTCATAATCAATGACATCTAGAGAATTTGGCCATCAACAATTGTGATAAGCTCATTCAAAAAGATAGGTTGTCTTCAGTCTTCTAAGGTAAGTATATGGATTCTTCTAATATGCTAATTGCCCTTGCTCTGCTGAGCCAATAATTTTTATCAAGTTTTAGAGAAAAATTGAGCAACTGTTGTTGTTACTTAGGATGTTTTTACTTGGACTGTAATTTGTTGGTCTAGTATGATCTTGGTCTGGTATGTTCTGTTTAAATATGGTCCTGGTCTGTTAAAAGTTTGGTCTGTTTGAGTCTGGTCTAATCTGGTCTGGGACTGAAAACAGTCCAAGTAAAAACATCCTTACTCGGAGTGTATATGTAGACAGTGTGTATTTATATATGTATGTATGTAAGAAGAGGCTGTGATGATACCATGTTTCTATGTTTTGGGGCATTTTGAGGATCCATCCCGTATCTTGGCAGGGCAATCTGGAGTAGTCCAGTTCTTGCAGCCATGGCGGCTTTGTCTTCTCATTGCCTGCTTGAGACACAGATCTGAGCCTCAACAGAAAAGTTATCCTTACCAAACTGGCTCTGAAGAATTACCTTTTAATAAGAGTCATCAACAATGTGTGAAAACTCATAAGAAAAGAATGAGGCACCAGAGTTGAGTTTGGGTTTTCTATCTGGGTGGTTGCGACTCCCTCTGCTATAGCCAATGATTTCATTCACCTTTGAAGAATATGTGACCAACAACCCTCATTCTCTCAGAGAATATGTGCAATATGTGTGCATGAATGTATGTATGTGTGTGTATATATATCAAGGGTAAGTTTGGGAGTTGATTTTGTATGGTTTTGGAGGGCTAAGAATATATCTTGATAATTAATTGAGATTTTTTAAAAGTTGAAGTAATATCATAATCAAAGATAAAATAATACTCCGTATTTCGGTGATCATTTGATCGTTCTTAGAAACGTTCTCTTAATCAAGATATAAACTGTCCTCCAAAGCCTGACCTTCCAAACCTCTCCAGCCAAACAGGGTGGAAAAGGTAATTACTGATGATACTTAACTAAATCCAAATATTTTCCAGTCTTTGGCTTCATTGTAAATGGAGTAGTTATGTATGTATATATGAGAGAAGAGGCTGTGATGATTGTTTTATGCAACTAAATTTTCGGGTACTTTGTGGATCCAATCCGTATCTTGGCAGGGCAATTCTGGAATGGCCAGCTATTGCAGCCATGGCGGATCGGTCTTTTCATTGCCTCCCGGAGACACAAATCTGAGCCTCCGCAAATGAGTTCAGGAAGAACAACTCTTAAAAAAGAATCTTCAACAATGTTGTTACATCTCAATAGGAAATGATGAGGCACCAAAGGTGAGATTGGGTTTTTTCTGGTTGGTTGCCCTCCCTCTGCTGTAGCCAATGATTTCCTCCACCTTTAAAAATAAGTAACCAACAACCCTATGTATTCTCGAAGAGAATATTTGTGTAACATGCATGCTTGCATGAAGGCAAGCTAAATGTAGGATCTCTCTAATACATGCATGCATAACTGGGTGGTGATGATATTTAGCCTTTCCTTGTTCATTCTCGGCATTGATGTGATATGATCCGTATCTTGGTGGGGCAACACTCATAGTTCATGAGTCTTATCACTCTCATGAGCACCAGATGTTTGCAGCCATGGCGGAATCGTAAATTTGCCTGCCTGATAACTGCTGGCTTTTCTGAACCTTCGTTCGGGTAATCGAAACTGCTTTGATTTTCTCCCTGGAAATTCTTATCATCTTATGAGTTGATAGCTTGCAGATTATTTATTTATTTATTTATTTATTTAAGGTTCCACTACCCTTACAAGTTCTATTCTTAGGATTGGTCTGATATTTTGGATGATGAGGCCTCTATATGAACTGTTAGACAGTGAGTGAGTTTTTAAGGTGTTCTTTGGTGTTCTTTTAGCTGAGAATAATCCTCACATGAATAATTACTCTATCGGAGAGTATATGTACACAGTATGAGTGTGTGTATGTGTATGCAAAGGCAGTGACGATTCATGCGACTAAATTATCTGGCATTTTGAGGATCCAGTCCGTATCTTGGCAAGGCAATCTGGGAAGCTCCAGTTATGCAGCTATGGCGGTTGGGTCTTCCCATTGCCTTCTGGAAACACAGATCTGAGCCTAAATAGAAGAGTTACTCCTATGAAACTGGCTTTAAAGTATTACCCTTGAAAAATCACGGGAAAACTGTCAAATAGTCCCCTGTACTATGTGAAAATGTCGATTAGCTAATGTTTTGGGGCTGTGATGATTATTTGATGCTCTACTAATTTTTGGGGCATTTGTGGATCCAATCCGTATCTTGGCAGGGTATTTCTAGAACGGCCGGGTTATTACAGCCATGGCGGATCAGTCTTCTCAGTTCTCATTGCCTCCTGGTGAAACAAATCTGAGCCTCCAGAAAGAAGTTGATGATGAATAGCCCTTTTAAAAGAATCTCCAACAATGTTGTACATCTCAGAGGTGCTCTTTGGAATTGATTCTGCTTCTACTGTTTCTAAGAGCAATTTCGAACACTCCAATATATGCTTCTCCTATTTGAAGGAGTAGAAGCTGTTTTAAGAAGTTGATTCAAACACCCCCTCATTAGAAAAGGATAAGGCGCCAGAGGTGAGTTTTTTTGGGTGGTTGCCCTCCCTATGCCGTTGCCAATGATTTCCTCCAATTTCAAAAACAAGTAATCAACAACACTCCTTATTCTCTCGGAGAATAGATGTGCAGTAATCATGTATGTATATATGTCAGAAGAGGCTGTGATGATTGTTTTATGCAACTAAATTTTTGGGGTATTTTGTGGATCAAATCCGTATCTTGGCAGAGCAATTCTGGATTGGCCAGCTTATTGCAGCCATGGCGGATCGGTCTTCTCATTACCTCCCGCAGACACAAATCTGAGCCTCCGCAAAAGAGTTCAGGAAGAACAGCTCTTAAAAAGGAATTTTCATTTTTCAACAATAGGAAAGGATGAGACACCAGAGGTGAGTTTGGGTTTTCTCTGGGTGGTTGCCCTCCCTCTGCTGTAGCCTGTAGTCAATGACTTCCTCGGTTCCTCCACCTTTAAAAAAAAGTAACCAACAACCCTTTGTATTCTTGTAGAGTTGTAGAGAATATCTACACAGCATGTATTATGCATGCATGCATGTAGGTATCTATGTATGTATGTAACGTATGCATACATGGGAAATGGAAAATGCATATATAAGACAGTGATGTCGTTTGACAAACCCTGTATACTTGGTTTGTTCTTGGACATTGGGTTCTGTGTTGACAAACCCGATTTTTTGAACTCCCAAACACGATCTATAGGGCTTATTTGACCCTAAAAAAATACAGGTAGACACAACTCTCGAAGTGATCTAAACAAAACTACTCTGGTATATTAATGGGGTGAAATTTTAAATTTATTGCAGAACTGTAGCCCCCAAAGGACTGAGGCGGGGAGAGGGATGGGAGTATGTTGAAAGGGCAGTTGCCTCCCTCTCATCTGCTTATGATTCCTCCGTGCCCCTTCTCAAACAACCCTTTCATCTTTCTTCCTTGCAAGAAAGCGGAAGTAATAATAATAATAAGAATCATTCATCATTATCATTACCCCAGTGCTGCAAAGGCTCCCACCGACGGTGGGTAGGGGGTCGGATGTACGCATTATTACCCCTATACTGAAGCACAAAAAAAGACTGTATGCGGTTCACCCATAGTGGAAATCATGTTGAAAATTGCATGGACTGACTGATGCTTCATAAAAAAAAAGCGCAGACAATTTAGTGAGCCAGTTTCTTTTATTCCATCATATTTCCAAGTCAAAAAATAGAGTTTTTGGTTCCATTGCAAATGATGGAAATAATAATAATAATAATAATAAATAAATAAATAAATAAATTCACAAGAAAGCAACGATTTTCTGTATCAACGGTACTTGAGGAGTTGAGGTTGTCGATGAGAGAAGCTCTGCCTGCTATCTTTCATCGATCTTTCTGTTCGCATCTTAAGCTGTTGTTATTACGTATATTACGTGGGCTGTGATGATATAGTTTTCTATTTTCCTTTTCTTTCTGGGCTACTAATTTTGAGGCATTCGGAGGACCCAATCTGTATCTTGGCGGGGCAACCCGGGAATGGCCCCGGATGTTGCAGCCATGGCGGTGTCGGCTTCCCATTTCCTCTGTAACAACATATCTGAGCCTCTAAGGAGTTTTCTTAAAATCCCATGATCCCATCCCATATTTTTTTTCTTGCATGTAAAAATCAGGATTTTTTAGGTATATGATTTATTATGTCCATATTTTGTTTTGTTCTTGATAAATAGATCTGCGTAATATTTCATCTAGATCATGTTTTGTATGACCTACTTTTTTTTTATCAACTATGTCTACGTTTTGTTATCAGTAAATTAACACTCGCAGAGACAAGATTGGATTGACTCCCTTTTCCTGTTGCAGGTGCCTTGCTCAAAAGAGAAGACTATATGCTAGGAGGTGTTTTTATTTCCATTTCTGTCACCGACATTGCATTGCTGCAAGGCTACAGAAGAACTCGTCAGAGAACAGGAGCCGAAGGAAGAAAGCTAGAAAGAAAAAAAAGAAAGTATCATGCAGGCGTGGGAAGAAACGAAGGAGAAAGGGAAAGAATGAAAGAAAGAGGGGGAGAAACAGAAAGAGAAAAAAAATTGAAAAATGTCACGTGTGCCTTTAACTTACATGTTAAAACGCTCAATTGAAAGTTTCTTAGTAATTGAAAAATAATTTTAAATAATACAAACCATCACTTATATAAACCAATAATAATACATTCTTTGGAAATGATTTTTAATAATACCAACTATTTATATATATAAGGAAAATAATTTGGGGAGTGGTTCCAGTGAGAAACGACTACTAGAAGATAAATGAGAATGAATTTGGACCGTGGGATTGTATTATGTGAAATTAAATTATGCATTTGATAAAATTGAAATGTATATGAAGTGAAAATGAAATGTGCAAAATGAAATTTAAAAATCAAATGTGCATTACATGAGATTGAAATGTGCAGGGTAAATGACACAAAAATATCCGTGCATCGTAGTTTTCAGTTTCACCCAGTGTACATTTCTGTTTTCCCTAATGCACAACTCAGCTTCACATGATACCACTGGCCTTACCTTTTGTGATGCACATTTTGATTTCGCCTAATGTACATTTCAGCTTTGCTTAATGCACATACAATTTCACAGAATAAAATCTAACGGTCCAGATTCATTCTCATTTCTCTTCTAAGATCATTTTCTCACTTAAACCTAATTCAATATGGAGCCATTTTTCAACATTAAATCCAATCCTCATAAATTGATATTGAACAATCAAATAAATGATATTATTCAGAAATGTGATCACTTATTTGATATTTTAATATTAGTTTTTGATAAGTTAAATGACTAAATTTTCAATAAAAATTGTTGTATTTTTATATATATATATTCAGCTATAGAATATTATCAAAACTTACTTCTAAAGTACACAATATTTTTTATTCATGAAATATAGTTTGTACCTATTATTTGAAGTTATTCTCCTTTTTTTTATCATACTCCCTCCGTATTTATACGTCTTCTACAATAGCTTTTGGCACAATATTTTAGGAGAAAATAGTGGGGGGAGAAAATAGTATGAGTAATGAATAGTGTAGAAAAAGTAGGAAAGAGAAGATAAAAAGTAGCAAAAGTAAGGGTAATTGAGTATTTTTAGATGAAAAAATTACCAAAAAGGGAAAGTGTAGCAAACTTTTAAATACATCTCAAATAGGAAGATGTATCAAAATTTTAAATACGGAGGGAGTAGTTATTTTCCCTTTAATAATTCGAATGTTCAATTTGGAGTTCATAAAGTACATGTGGACATAACTCCCAAAGGAGGAAATGATCAATTGAGTACATATTGCATTTGATCCTTTTTAGTACACAAATTCGCGATTTTAATGTTAATTGAGTACACTAGTTAGATTAACACGTTAATACAGATGAGTTAGCTAACAGAATGTTGAGTAGAAGGGGTAATGGACCAAGGTTATGATGCCGACCTTCACGAAGTCGACCACAAAGGGTAAATTGACCTTCGGAGGTCGACCTATCGGGGACGTCGGCCAACGGGGGTGCATCGACCAAGGAGAAGTCAACCTGCGGGGACTGACGTCGACCAAGGGGGAGTCGATCAAGTGATTGGGAGTTGGCGTCGACCTTCAAGAAGTCGACCTATTAGCATTCTGTTAGCCAACTCAGCCATATTAATGTGTTAATTTAGCGGGTGTACTCAATTAACAATAAAAACCTAAATTTGTGTATTTAAAGAGATCAAACACAATATAGTGTACTCTTTATTCCACAACATACAAGTTATGTACTCAATTGACCTAGGGGTGGGTTTGGTTCTTGCGGTTCGGTTTTGACCTAAAACCAAAAATAGAACTGTTGAGGTTTATTCCTTCAACCCCCGGGTCCAACACGTAAGCCCAAGGATTTCGAATGGAGTGTGTGATTAAACTAGCCCAACAAGCAGATGATATGGATTAGGAAAGCAGTAAGGTAGCGGGTAAATGATTAGGTATTATTATCTCTTAATAACTCCCTAATACAATACTTTTCGCTAAGGCTCCGTCGGCCGTTCGTCTCACAAGGCAGTAGAAGTGCTGCGAGTAAGAATGCTATAGCTAGAGTGCTAATAATAGAAAGTTGCCAACCCTTTACAATGAAACAAATGCTCCTATTTATACCCGCCAATGGGCGGTTGGCCATGCTGACGTGGAGGCCTGTGGACCGCTTGTGTCCCAACCACCAAATCTTCAGCATTAAATGCACTTCCCGCCAAAATCTAGGTTTCCCGCCTAAATAATGGGGACGTTCGTCCGCCTGGGAAGTGAGCTGGATCACTCCAAGTGACCCTCAAGAGGTTCCGGCTGTTCGTCTCCTGGCCTTGATGGATTCTCACCATGTGGACTGGGTTTCCTCCGATGACTATGGGCTTGCTCAGGAGACGTTCGTCGTTACCCCTGATGGCCCGTGGTCCTGCTCCTTGCCCCTGCATAGACATTCGTCGGGAGGAGCCGCTGGGCCTGAACCCCCAACCCCAGACGCTCGTCCCTTCCCAAGGAGTATGGGCCTGCGGGCTGGCCTCGTGGTCTGACTGGACGCACGTCTGGTGAAGAAAAGGTTAGTGGGCCGGACCTCGGTTTGGGCCCTTAACCCAACACAAGTCCCCCACTTCTGATGTTCTGAGCATGCGCAGGACATAAGGAAGTATGATCTCTCCTGAGGGTGGGACGTTCGTGACCTGGTACTTGTGTTTATTGCATCAAGTGGAGGCGTATGCTCGTGGTCATGGTGCTTAACAGCTGTCGACGGTTCAGGAAACGAGGTGACGGCTGCTGTAGCGGCGGTGCATTTTCCGAGGAAATGTCATCATTACGCCTTCGCCCCACGCACAGCGCGTGAGCCGGAATACGCTCCCTGCCACGCGTCAGCCCCCAGTTGGCTCCCCCACCGGTGTTTCTCCTATAAATGCCGGGTTTTCCCTCTGGATTTGGGTTCCCGATTTCTGCTCCCTTGCTTCCGAATTTCCGCAGCTCTTCAAGTCTTCTCCCGCTTTCAAGCTCGGCTACCCCTTTCTAAGGTAACTTCCATCCTCTGCTTCTTTTCCTTGTCTTGAATTCTCGCCGAGATGGTTTCGATGGAGATCTCGTCAAGTTCTGGTTCGGGTTCATCGGGTTCCTCCGGTTCACGCTCTTCGGGCGAGACTAGCACTTCCGGTAGTTCTGGCTCGGCCCCTACCGTGGGAACTGTTCAGGCCGGGGAAGCCCAAATTGGTGTTGTTAAAATTGTCCCTGGTGAGGAGGGTGCTGATTCGGGGGAACAAGACAACATGGCCCTCGATGTGGTGGACCCCGCGGCCGACGTCGGGGAACAGGAATCCGCTAGTGAGGACGGTCGTCCAGACGGATATGACTCTGGGGTCGAGGCCCAGGATGGTTCCGACATCGAAGTGTTTGATCTTGGGCTAAAGATAGATGTGGAGAGGCATCTATGCCCGATCAAGAATGTCCTCTGCCACGAGCAGATCTTCTCGCCGGTGGCCCTCAACAAACTGAAGGTGTTCTTCCCCCCTCCGTCCGTATACAGCCTTCGTGGCGCAACCCACGTGATGAGGAGACGCCCAGGGATGATTATGGTGCTTCTGGACTCAATCGAGGCTGGGCTGCGCTTCCCTCTTCATCCGTTCTTTGTGGAATTCTTCTGTTGTTACCAGATAGCCCCCGCACAACTCATGCCGAATTCCTATCGGTGGCTCTCCGCCTTCCTAGTCCGTTGCAAGGACAATGGGGTCACCGCCACTTTGGATCTGTTTCATTACTTCTACTGGCTCACCCCCCAAAATTCCGACGGTTTCCTGAGCATCGCAGCCCGTCCGAAGCGGAGGTTGTTCAGCGGGGCACCGAGTTCCATCCATGATTGGAAGAATCGGTTCTTCTTCGTGCGGTATGCGGATGCCCGTCTGCCACTACGGTGGAATGGCTACCCGCCCAAGATAGGGTCCCCGGAGCTGACCGACGATCTGGAGGAAGACATCAGGAAGATCTCGACGGGCGGCGTCCGGCCCTTAGATGACTTCCTAACTTTTGAGGCACTTGCCGCGGCAGGAATAGGTACCGCCCATACTCTCGGGCATCTTCCCTCCTACGCTCGTCTCGGGGTACTGGGCGGTCCTGACCTCCGAGGTGAGTCATTCTTGACGCTCGTCCATCTAACACATTTCCTATTTTCCTTTCAGGTCTCCCCCCGACCCAAGAACAAATGAATCACGAGAAGCTCCTCAGGACGAGGAAAGGCAAAGACGCTGCTGCTGATGCTGCCCTTGCCAAGGCCAAGACCGCCCAAACAGCAGATTCTAACTCCTCCGCCTCCCAGGCCGATCGTCGCACGGTGGAGGCGGAACAGCACCTCATCGCCACGGTGATGGCGCAGGGGTCCCAGGCCCCAATCCTTAATCCTGGCGTCCCCGAGGTTGTGGCACCTCTGCAGGCCGTCCATCCCCATGAGGGAGAGAAGGCGAAGGACAAGAAGTCCAAGAGGCCCCGGGGGGCTTCCTCTTCGGCCCCCGACGGGCAGGAGTTGATCCTTCCCTCCCTTGGGCGTCCGGCTCATGATGTCTGGCAGGAGATTGCCTCTCTGGTCGGCGTGGAAATGCCTCCCCGGACGTCTTCGGAGGCCTCTAATGCGGTTCTGGCCGCCGCTCTTCAGGTGAGACTTCGCCTCTCGTTGGGCGGTAGATTTCCGTATTCTGTTGAATTGAAGTCTCATTCTCTGTGTCTCTTTTGTAGGTTGGACTCTCTACGCTGCAGGCCGAGGCTGCTCGGGATGCCGATGCCCTTCAGGCCAAGAATAAGGCAGATGCGGCCCTGAAGAAGGCGAGAGAGGCCGCTCGTCTTCAGGAGAAGGAGCTGGCGGCCAAGGACAAAGAACTGCAGGCCGCCCTGAAGGTAGCCCGCGAGTCCTCCGCGAAGCTCGCGGTTCTGGAGAAGGCCGGGTTCAAGCTCGTCCCAGCTCTCCCTGCTCCCAAGGACGAGGCCCCTGAATGGCTCGTCGATGATACCGGGTATCATAACTCTGGGGCTTTCATGATCGCCGCCCAGAGGTATCTCGGCGGTGCTTTCGGCGATGTATTCGCCGCCGAGCTGCAGAAGCGTGCGCCGAAGGACCGGCTCAAGTTCGGGGTCCAGGTCCTGGAGAGTGCCCCCCCTGGCCGAGAAGTTCCTGTATGATGTTGGGGATAGCTCCTTTGTCATCGGCTACAACGAGGGGGTAAAGGCCACATTGCCGGTCTTCGCCGCTCTTCAGGGTCCCGGATTCGATCTGGCCCAGCACACCACGGACCCGGAGCTGATACGGGCAGTGGGCAAGCTGGAGAGGGACGCCCGGCGGGAAGAAGCCAAAGCCAGGGGTGAAGTTCCGGAGCCTCCGACCCCCGAGCCCGAGCCCGAAGAGGAAGAAGAGACCGTTCCTGGGGGGTCCCGGCCTGTTTCCCCAAATTTTGTTTAATGTAGCCTGTAATTTCTTCATTTTGACTATGTACTTATCCGGCCAGTAGAGCCGAGGAATACACAACTTTTTTGCCCCATCATTGTCTCTACGTTCATAACTCTTCCCGCTTTCTTTTATTGTTAGTAGCATTTTGCCATTATGGAATATAGCCCAAGTTTGTGAGGACGTTCGTGCCCATAATTCACTCCTGTACCCCAATCTCTCGAGATACGTTCGTATGCTTGGGAGCTGACCCTGCATGCGTAATCCCGGA